TAAATGTTACACACTGGACCGTAAATGTAGATAAAAGAAAAAGGAAGTCTTTGGGACTTTAAAACAAGTGTCTCTTAATAGACATTTTGGGTTGAATGAAACATTCATATTTAAATTCACATTAACTGTCTTTGTCACTGCAGATCTTTGAGATGATGGATGCCAAGGCTCGTCAGGACTGCATCAAAGAGATAGATCTACTGAAGGTAAAGTTAGTTAATCAACTACAGCCAGTGTGTTAGGAGTCGGTGAGAAATTATTGAAGAGGTTTACCACATTGTTTTAGATGGAAATACAAGGACAGAAGCTCAAACAACCTTTCGCACTAATTTGATAATTGTAGCCACTGGTACAGATGATTTGATGCATTTGCCACACTATCACTTTGGGCTCAGTGTCAGTTCTTGACCTGTTGTGTGCTGTGTTACAAAAAACTTGAAATTCTTCCATTTGTCCACTGCAGCAGCTGAATCACCCCAATGTGATCAAATACCTAGACTCCTTTATTGAAGACAACGAGCTCAACATTGTTCTGGAGCTGGCAGACGCTGGAGATCTGTCCCAGATGATAAAGGTCAGGAATTGTCTCTAAGACTCATAGGCTTACCTCCAGGTAAATACAGATACTGTATGCAGAAGAGTGGCCAAAACTCAACAGATGAGTAATCCAGAAGTAAAAATATGTGTTAGATAAGTTGATTACTGGTGTGTGCACATTCCGGTCGAATGCCAGGAAATTTTATTCCAGTATTACCCAGGAATTCTCTCCGAAATGTACTCCCTTTTTACCAAGATCCATACTTTAGATACCTATCCTGTTAATGTGAGATAAGAGCAATCCTTGGCCTTGACCCACTGCTAGAACCAGTTCTCCACTGACTTTCACATAAACATGATACATGTAGCACCTTTCAGAGAAGCATTGTAGCTTTTTCTGTGCTAACAATCCTTCCTTCCATCTGTGTAGTACTTCAAGAAGAAGAGGCGACTCATTCCAGAGAGGACTATATGGAAATATTTTGTGCAGCTCTGCAGCGCACTGGAGCACATGCATTCACGCAGAGTAATGCACCGTGGTAAATGACCACTCACAGATACACTCACCCTCTTCTCAGTACTCGTCTACACCATGCACACTTCATCTATTTAATCCTATCATCCATCCTTCTGCTCTACCCATACTACCCTCTCACCTCATCTGTTTTGCATTCATGTTTTCGTCTCCTCTCTCAACCACTTATTCTACAGTCAACATTCAAAAGACGGGAAGGCATTATGTATAGCTGTAGAATACATAACATAATTTACATACTGTGACCATCTTCAGCTTTCTATACAGCCTGCAAGTTCTGCAGAAACATAACAGGTTTAGTACAGAAGCACAGCGTAATGACAATGAAAGAGGATGTGAGTATTCCCAGTTTAAGTGTGTGTATGTGTGTGTGTGTGTGAACCAGATATCAAGCCAGCCAATGTGTTCATAACAGCCACAGGGGAGGTAAAGCTCGGTGATCTTGGATTAGGCCGCTTCTTCAGCTCTAAAACCACTGCAGCACACTCCTTAGGTAAAGTACACACACACACATATATGCAGAACATACATACATACATACATACGTACATACGTACATACACATATTGTACATGAATGCACAGTGCATGTTTTTCTTTTATGTTAGCTCTTAATGGAGGTGTGCAGTTTATGCAAAACTACTCAGCTGTGTATTGGGCTGCGACTATTTTCATTATCGATTCATCAGTCGATCATTTTCTCTATTAAAGCTGCAGTAGGAAAGTTAACATTGCGGCATCATTGCTGAAATTTTCACTGTGTTCTTACAATGGTAAATTGTAATGTATGAGACATCTATGAAAAAATCTGGTTCCTCGGGCTCCTTATGGTATTATTATCTTGGCAGCGGCTGGCGCACCTTGGCTGCCGCTCCGTCTCCATCTCTGAAAATAGTCTATAATAAAGTTTTTGTCTCTTGATCTACACCTCACCACACCAGATTGCCTGGTTCGGCAGTCATCTGAAGTTGGAGAGCAAACACATTTGCTACTATCTATCTGCTTCTTACCTGTGAAGTCCCCGTTCTGCTAGCTCCTGCTAGCTCCAGGATTCTCGGGACTTACTCTTGGTGTAGCCTCATCGCCCTGCCACCGGGGTGGCCACTCCTGCAGTCTTTCCCTGCCATCTCCTCTACCAGCTCGAGCCCACCTGAAACTGACTTTGCTCAACACCCACTCACTCAACAATAAAAGCCTCATTTTAAATGAATTCATAACTGACAATAACCTGGATTTCCTCTGTATCACTGAAACCTG